GTTATTTTTAAACTTTCATGTTTAATATACATTATTTATATTATTAACCATCGAGTGAGGTAAATACCTTTATTTGCCATAAAATAATTCTTGTTAAGACCCGGTTAATAATGTAAATAACTAGTTGTTTCCGCGTGGAATTTAACTTAATTTTTCTAAAATAAATGTAACCTAAGTTACTCCTTATTACATCAGCTACCTGCCAAAAAGTCCCGTCAAAATCGGTTCAACAATTTCGGAGATTATCCGGAACAAACAGACACACAGATCGGTGTATATACCGTATTCATATTCATATGCGTGTAGTAAAAAACGGTTATTTAAATATTACAAACAGACAATCCAATTTTATTTATATGTAGGTATAGATGTATAAATATAAAATGATTTGAATTCAGTTCTCTTGGGTGATAGTTGGGGTTGTAAACCATTAGTTTAAATTACAAGTAACACAAATGAGTTTGTATTGAAATGTTTTTTTAAAGTACTCTTCAGTGATTAATTAATTTATTTATTATTGACTTATCGAAATGTTACCGCGGCCTCGAGACAACCTTACAGCTGACACTTTAGAAACCTCACTAACCTTTGCTATCATTGGATATCATAGCCATGACAGTCGCGACGGGATATTTACCCGACTTCGCTGAAGAAGGGTTATGAATAGAATAGAATAGAATAAAAAAATCATTTATTCAAATAAACTTAATTTAAGCATTTTTGAATAGTCAACATTTTTTTTTAAATCTACCGCTTATTCGCAAACATGTGTTATCACAAGGAGAATAAGCAAGAAACTTGTGTGTTGCTCTTTTAAACAATCCTTGTAAGTTCACATTTTACAAGTAGAAACGTGTGAATACAAACTACCAACCAGCACTAATTTATTTAGGCTCAAATATAAAATACAATAAGATTAAATCAGTCGTAGTGATAAGAGCAGACCAGTCCCTACAAGCAGCACTCGTTCACGAGTATGACGGATGAGCCAGCCATCACTGCGCTCGACCATATTTTATCTTATATATAAAATTCTCGTGTCACAATTTTCGTTCCCATACTCCTCCGAAACGGTTTAACCGATTCTCATGAAATTTTGTGAGCCGGCCAACATCTGTTTTTCATCCCCCTAAATGTTACGTAGGTAGTCAAGCCCTAATTTTTTTTTAGACTAAATTTTTAGTTCTATTTTTTTATGATACAACATACAAAATTACATACCTCCATAAATTTTCACCCTTCTATCATCAACCCCTATATTTTTATTGCGTTATTAATTTATATGGCAAAACAGCGTTTGCCGGGACAGCAAGTGATATATAAGGGTTACGATTTTGACTCGTGCACTCAATTATATTTAAAGTTCTTAAATTTTGACTAAAACTTGATATTTTTATTTTCTTTATTTAATTATAATAAAATCATTACAATTACATATACATCTAAGAGTATAGTAACATAATTTGTTTTAGTAGTAACATAATTCATTCTGTACAAACATTTGTATTCATGAGTATGATTGTTTGTATCGGTCTGGGTGTTTTCTATGTATAATATGTATATATTTACGAAAAAAAATATCTATGTATATGTATCAGCTATCTAGTACCCATAACACAAGCTTTAGCTAGCTTAATTATCTTTTATTTGCTCTTTTTTTTCGTTTGTTGTTTATATTGTATTTTTTACATTGCACTGAATAAATATTTGTCTTTCTTTCTTTCTTTCTTTCTTTCTTTCTTTCTTTCTTAACTTGGGACTAGATGGCACTGTGTGAATTGTCCTGAGATTATTATTATTATTATCATTAATTACACAAGTACACAAAAGAAAAATCAATGCCTAATCTTAATTTAACATACTACCTAAATAATCTACTACCACCCTCCGAAACTCCAGCAATAATAACCCTGGACAATTCACAATGCATTCTCCAAGGATATTATTAATTATTAATTGTCTAAAAATAAAATCAAATATCTTATTTTATTTTCAATAAAATATTTGGTTATCTAATTATGGATTCTACAGCCGGAGATTGTAAAAAAAATCCAACCTTTTCTTAACTTAAATTTATTAATATAAAATAATAATTACAATGCTTATAGTTCGATGTTAGAACAGAATATGATTGATTTATATAATTCTATAAAAATGATATGTAACTATAGGCATGACGCGATATGGCGTGATGCTCATTGCTGATCAAGCATTTGGTGCCGCGTGTAATGTTTATTGGGGACAGTGCAAATGCAGCAGTCCGTCTATACTAGGCTTGCGTAACAATCTAGTACCCATAACACATGCTCTGTTTACCTTAGGACTAGAAGGTGTTCAGGGGAACTATTATTCATTTAGCATATCCATAAGATAGGCTCTGCTTACTTTGAGACTAGATGGCGTTGTGTAAATTTTCGAAGGGTATTATTCTTTATGTAACAAAAATAAACAATGTAAAATATAATTTAAATATTAAAAACTCATGTTCAAAATAGAGGCGAGAATCGCTTTCAAAGGCAATAGCAGCGAGCGATAAAGTAAAATAAACAAAGTTTTGATAAAAAGCTCGGGAACTTTTCGAGGCGTCAATACAGTTTGCAGGATTAAAACTTTCTCTTATAAATGTCAGAGAGGAAACGGGCCGAATTGAGATGGATTAGCGTGTTAGAGTGAGATAGAGTGTTTTATATAATTGCTTTAAGGATTTCGGTTGTGGTTGTGTTCCAATTTTGGCAAAAGTGCGGGTATGTTTGACGGACTCGATGGTTTAGTGGTTTAGCACACTGTTTTACTTCCGATGGCCGCGGGTTCGATTCCTCGCACGCTACATACATATCACAAGTATGATTGTATGTATCGGTCTGGGTGTTTTCTATCTATATTCTGTATATATTTATAAAAACAAATTCTAAGTATATAATAATAATCTCAGGACAATTCACACAGCGCCATCTAGACACAAGTTAATCTAGCTAAAGCTTGTGTTATGGGTACTAGACAACTGATACATATACATAGATATATTTTTTTTTGTAAATACATACATATTATACATAGAAAACACCCAGACCGACACAAACAATCATACTCGTGAATACAAATGTTTGTGCCGTGCGAGGAATCGAACCCGCGACCATCGGAAGTAAAACAGTGTGTTAGACCGTTAGACCATCGAGTCCGTCAAACATACCCGCACTTTTGCCAAAATTGGAACACAACCACAACCGAAATCCGTAAAGCAATTATATAAAACACTCGGTATCTATATCATTTGCCTAGTACCCATAACACAAGCTCTGCTTACCGTGGGACTAGATGACGCGTGAATTGTCCAGGATTATTATTATTGTAATGATAAAATAAAAAAAAATAGAAACAATGTCAAATAACTGTTCAATACTGATACTTTGTATTCAAACAAAGTGAGTATTCAGAAGAAAGTCGCCAGGACTATTCACTGATCGCCCTGTCACAACTTGCACCGTAACTCGTCCGGATCAGTATAGATTTATGTTTGGATTTCGCCCAAGGAACCACTTTTGAAAAGTTTCGATCGGAACAAGGTACGCTACGGGCGCTCCCAGAAATTGGGTATTTATGAAAACTTCCCAAACTATACATTGTATACATTTTTGTATACATATACATGTATATATTATCGCGATTGATTTGTTTTGTTTAATCAATTCAAATCTTATTAATATTATAACGTCAAGTTTGTGCTTATAGACGTATGTTTGTTACTCTTTCACGCCAAAACTACTAAACGAATTTTGATGAATTTTACAGTAGTAGCTTATCCATCAGAATAATACAAGCTACAAATCATCGTGACCATCAGAGATAACGTGGTATGCTAAACCACGTCAAATATTATATATATTATGTATGTATTTATAAAAAAATGTATCTAAGTATTTATATCAGTTGTCTAGTACACATAACACAAGCTCTGCTTACTGAGGGACTAGATGGCGCTGTATGAGTTGCCCGCGAATTCGCTCGCGTTAATTTATTCCCTTCGGGGTGGAATTTATCAAAATCCTTTCTTAGAGGATGCCTACGTCATAGTAGCTCTATGCGTGCAAAGTCTCAGTCCGATCGGTTTAAAATTAACAAAGTTTCATACAAACTTTCATCCCTATGCTATTTTATTATAACTATTCTCCCTATTTTATCCCCTTGGGGGTAGAATTAATCAAAATCCTTTCTTAGCGGATGCTTACGTTATAACATCTACCTGCATGCCAAATTTCAGCCCGATCCGTCCAGTGGTTTGGGCTGTGCGTTGATAGATCACTAAGTCAGTCACCTTTGAGTTATATATGTATATTTAGATATCATCATTATCATTACATAGTATAAAACAAAATCGCTGTCGCTGTCTATCCCTATGTATGCTTAAATCTTTAAAACTACGCAACGGCTTTTGAAGCGGTTTTTTAATAAATAGAGTGATTTAAGAGAAAGATTTATATGTATAATACATGTACACCCGGGCAAAACCGGAGCGAATAGCTAGTAATATATAATGCGAAAGGTTCCATATTGAAAAAATAATTTTACTAGCTGTCCCGCGCAACTCTGTCTGCGTTTTATTTCCCCATCTTTTGTAATATTTTTTTAGAAAGAAAGAAAGAAAAATATTTTATTCAGTGCAATGTAAAAAATACAATATAAACAACAAACGGAAAAAAAAGAGCAAATAAAATGTACATATAATTAAACTTAATTTACCATAATTAAAAAATAAACATAAAATAAACATTTTTTACATCCAATAATGCACTGAAATGGCTCCATTCATTGTAGGTCGTAGCGTAATATTATATAGCTTAAAGCATTCCTCGGCAAATGAACTATCTAACACAAAAATAATCTTTCAATACGAAACAGTAGTTCCTGAGATTAGTGCGTTCAAACAAATAAACTCTACAGCTGTATAATTAAAGCGTATTGGTGATCGCAAACACAAACAAACCAGACCTTTTTCGTTCCAGTCGCACCATCCCACGTCACCATCTCTGGTCCTTCGGAGGCAAGAGTCGGCGATCCTGTACCATTAAGCTGCAGCACAGCACCTTCGAATCCTGCTGCTGATATCAAGTGGCTGGTGCTGGGGAAACATCATAAGGAAGCTAGTAACCGTACTGTTATATCACCTGAAGGTAAAAGACAGTTTTTTATTTATGTCAATAGAATTACATTGATTGTATTTGTCGCCAATAGATGGCGCTGTACAGAAATTACATCTCGCTATAATTTGGTTTTGTAGAAATATATATACTTCATTTTATATATATATCAATCCCCAATTCAATTCAAATGGGGACCAAAATTAGGACGGCCTGAGCCGAGGCTCGAACCCCTAGCGGTGCCCTCAGACTAAAGTCGTATTCGCCAGGCGGGAGCTCCATTTGCTCCATAAGTCCATCCACGGGTTTGGAGTGCCATCTGCACACGTCCCCTATCGTCTGGTGAAGCTGTTAAGGCCAGCTGCGGCCAACAGCATTAGAGTAGACCGAAAAAAAACGACCCCCAATCTAATTCAAATAGGGATCGAAATTACGATTGCCTCAGTCTAGCATCGAACCCGTATCAGTGCTCTCAGACTAAAATGTTATCCGTCAGGGAGGAGTTGGCCTTCAGCCGCAGTCAGTCTATCAGCTTGCTATAGTTTGGTTTTGTAAGATCATATGTATTTTATATTACAAATCCTCCAGTATATAGACGCAAAATAAGCTAAGCTTGTACTGTCGTTACTATAGAAGTCAATATATAAAAAGATTTGACACATTTTACGTCTATTTCAGGAGGATGGATTACCACATCTAACATAACGGTGGTAGTGGAACCGAACCGGCGATCCATCGTTGTGGTATGCCATGGTATCAACGCCCAACTCACGGAGAATGTAGTATCCACTCACACCATCAATGTTCTATGTAAGTTATTGTTTGTTTGTTTGTAACATTTTATTGTACAGTAAATACATTTAAATTAACTAAAGATACAACGATCTTAAAAAAAATTATTTCTATTCTCTTTATTCATTGTAGATATTAGATAGATAGATAGTTAATTACATTATTCACAATCAATACACATACATACACATTTTAAAACAGAATCATCATCATCATCTGCTTCTTCCTTATCCCATTTATTTGTGGTCGTCGTAATATGTTTTTCGCTTCCTTTCATCCCTGTTCGCAGTCATCGAGTTATTTACTTTAAAAAAATCTTTCTATTCTCTTTATTCATTGTAGATATTAGATAGATAGATAGTTAATTACATTATTCACAATCAATACACATACATACACATTTTAAAATATTATCATCATCATCATCTGCTTCTTCCTTATCCTATTTATTTGACGATTAATATGTTTTTCTCTTCCATTCATCCCTTTAAAACAGTCAAATCTCGTTAAATTTTAATAACGAAAAAAAACAAATATATAACTTAAACATATATAAACTTTCACACAGTCCATCCATCTCTTTTTCGTCCTTCATAAGACCTTATAACCATTCACATTCATATGTAAGACCTTTATTAAAATATTATCCTCGTTCCTACGCATTACATGTCCATACCATGATAGATGATTACTCTTCAACCTCTCTGACACCGGTGTCATTTTAAAACAAAATATAAATTACAAATAAATTTTAATAACGAAAAGAAACAAATATATAACAAAAACATATATAAACATTTACACATATATAAAAAAAGAAGATGCAAATATAGTATATATAATGCAAATATAGTACATATAGTAATGATAATATCCCTGAACAATTGACACAACGCCATCTAGTCCCAAGGTAAGCAAAACTTGTGTTATAGGGACTAAACCAAATCAAAAATTTTTTATGCAAATATTTTAGTCGCTTATGAACGTCAAGTTTTTTGTATTAATACCATTTTCTCTGCCATCCTGGTCAGTATACAGATTCATACAAATTCAATATACTAGACAACTGAAATAAATACTTACATAATATATATAGAAAACACACAGACCGATACAAACAATCATACTCATGAATACTGTCATATGTTGGTCACCTGAAGCTAGTTAAAATATGTGTATATATATATACTAGTTGTTCCCGCGACTTCGTCCGCGTGTTATAGTGACCTTGACAAAATATAGAAAAAAATATTTAATTACTAACCCAAAAAGGCAAAGAAAAAAGATTCCTCGTAATAGTTTCAAAAATGACTATTTTCTATTCAAACTTTCAGCCCCTATTTTTTACCCCCTTAAGGGTAACAATTTTACAAACTTAGTCATATTTATTTATATTTAATGAACGGCGTAAAAAATAATTTTCATAATTCTAGTTTTAAAAATGACGATAGAACCCTTCATGTCCCCTTTCAACCCCTTACTACCCTTTATTCGCATTAAAAAGTAGCCTATGTCCTTTCTCAGGGTCTATACTATCCGTATAACTAAATTTCATTTAAATCGGTTTAGTTGTTTTGGCGTGAAAGTGAGACAGACAGACGGACAGAATTACTTTCGCATTTATAATATTAGTACCGATATAATATGAATTATCTATTGATATGTGTCACAAATTTTCCATTCCAATAAAATAACTTACGTATGCTACAAATACAAATGTGTGTACCGTGCCAGGAATCGAACCCGCGACCACCGGAAGTAGAGCCGTGTGCTAAACCGCTAGACTACCGAGGTCAAAAGTAGTCGTATAAAATGATCTTCATTGCTTCACCTGAAGGAGTATTTTCAGTCATAGACACGTGCCTTATAGATAATGTGACCAGATGTCCCATTTTGAACGGGACAGTACCATTTTATAAATAAGAGTCCCAGTCCCTGAAATGTACTCTGGGACGCGAAATTGTTCCGTCTTCGGTAACCATGCGAAATTTTGAGTAGACGAGCTGGTTGTTGGTAATTAAGTATAAAAAACCGTACCAAGAGTGTCATTCTTGCTTGAAATCTTGTTAAAAAAGAAAATTTGTTCCTCTGATAAATATATAAATATAACTAAACATTAAATTTTTATCAGATATATATAAATGACTAAACAAAACGTTCAATTATATTTATCGGGTATATTTTTTAATTCGTAACTTTTTCTGAATACATAATTTTAAAAATGAGTTTTTGACTATCTTTTAATTGATATAAAAAACCGATGTCCCGTTTTGAGTCGAAGAATAGATGGTCACGTTACTTATAGAGCATTACAGTGAACCGTCGATGGCTACTGAGCTTTCATAACCCATACAGAAAACTTCATCAACTGAGCCAAATTCTTACGTACTCACCCCTGCAGTTGTCTCAGTTTACAACTGTAGGGTTGGCACTTACAACATTTGTTACATTTATTTATAATTACAAACGCTTCTGAAGTAACTAAATTAATAATAATAATACTAATACTAATAAGTTGCCATCTCCTCTCTTTAAGAGGGGAGATGAGATTTTTTTTAAGTTTAAATAATAATAAGTGTGGTATACGCCACAAAGCGTAAAAACTCAGTAAAAAGGCTGAGAAAGCGAAACACACATAATATTAACACACATAATAATTGGATCTATATACCGAACTGGACGGTAGGGAAAAAATAAAATTATAATGTAAAAATTTGACGTTCATAAGCGGCTAAAATGTCCTACATGAATAAATGAATTTTGAATTTTGAATTAATAATAATAATAATACACACACACACACACACTGCACATACTTGGTTTCGGCCCATAAATGTGGAAATAACCAGCAAAAGCTGAGAGAGTGAGACGATCATAATAATAATAATAATCCACATAGTACCCATAGTTTTGTCATCCACAGGAATTATACCAAAAAGTTTGAACAAACACCTAGACACGTTGCATATGTCCTCTACAATAGACCTATTACAAAAAGCCGTCATACTAAACACATGCCGAATAGTCAGAAAATTTCTATCTTCATCCATAACTCATCCATGCTTGGCTAAGGCCCGCGTGTTTGAATATATTACCCCCGTAAAAAGGGAGATATAATAAATATATATATAATAATAATAAAAACCAGCAAAGGTTAGAGATTATAAAAAAAAATTAAATAAAAATAAAAATATCTTCTACTGGTGTTCTCCCAAAATCTCTACACAACTCATTAAATAAACTGCACCTCAATAAAACATTCTTCATTGAACTCCAGAAATCTACAGTATTAGATACATGCTGTGTAGTAAGAAAAATTTTAAATAGTCCAATTCCTAGCATTGCTACTGAATAAAATAAAATATGAGAACAAGTGACTTGGTAAAAAACCCGTCCTGATCTCTACAAAACCAGTTTTATATACATATAGTCCAATTCCACCTACTCAATACGCTCACAAAATTTCATGAGAATCGGTCAAGCCATTTAGGAGGAGTATGGGAACGAAAACTGTGACACGAGAATTTTATGTATAAGACTAGCTGTCCCGGCAAACGTTGTTTTGCCTTAAAATAAAAAAAAATATTAGGGTGGACTACCCCTAACATTTAGGAGGATAAAAAATAGATGTTGGCCGATTCTCAGACCTACTCAATACGCTCACAAAATTTCATGAGAATCGGTCAAGCCGTTTCGGAGGAGTATGGGAACGAAAACTGTGATACGAGAATTTTATATATAAGATTATAATAATATTTATTGCCAGAACAAAGATGCATATACATTTGAGTACTTTGTTTGTTGAACAAAAACTATATAAAAAAAATAACCTCTTAAACTACATATAAAATAGCAACATAGCAACTACTATAAAATAGCAACATTATGCGTATTTTGGTCAAAAAAATATGTATATTAAATTGGAGTTTCTTATTTGGAGTGAGTTAATTGATGAATGAGTGATAAAACAAATAATATAATATAATATCTCAGGATAATTCACACAGCGCCATCTAGTTCTAAACTAAGCAGATCTTGTATTATGCGTACTAGATGACCAGGTCACAATTTGAGCGGAGTTTTTCTTAAAAAAAACACCTTGACCGATCGGATTTTTTTTGTGGATGAAGGTCCGAAGGTCTTCATCGACTGTCAGGCCTCCACCGTTTACCACAAAAAAAAAAAAAAATTTTGGTCTCGATCGATCAAGCCGTTTTGGAATATCGTTACAAGGAGTTTAATCTGGTGTCTCAGATCGCTTCGCGCTCCGCTCAATAAATACATACATTAAAATTTTTCTAAATACATATATAACACCCAGACCGATACAAACAATCATACTAGATAATACAAAAGTTTAAACCGTGCGAGGAATCAAACCCCTGACCATCGGGTGCAAGACGGTGTGCTAAAACGCCGTTAGAAGTCGTCAATCAATAAATATAAGTATTATATATAAATTTTTTATACGACAGTTTTTACAATTTCAATAGTGACAACCCTAGGGTAATGTCTTAGTAACTCCATGTTAGTCGCACGTGCTCAGAAATCATAGTGCTTTTCAACGCACATGATCGAGTCGACTTTATGTGAGCTAAGTTATGTTGCTGATAAAATAGGGCTGGCCCACAGCCAAAACGTATAATTTTTTTTGTGAACAAAAAAAACAGTTTCCTACTGTATGTTTTATTTATATGTATATGTACTAAATTCTTGTTTATACATATTTTATGTATGTTTTATTGAAGTATTTTTTTTAAGACGTTTGCGTGGGTTATTTCGGTAAGTAATAATAATAATATATCTCAGGACAATTTACACAGCGCCATCTAGTCCCAAGCTAAGCAGAACTTGTGTTATGGGTACTAGACAACTGATATTAATAAATAGTTACATTTTTTAGTAATACATACATATTATACATAGAAAACACCCAGACCGATACAAATAATCATACTCATAAATACAAATGTCTGACCATGCAAAGAATCAAACCCACAACCATCAGAAGTAAGGCA